AAAAGGGGCAAAGGGGAAGGGGAAGTGGGAGGGGTAGGGGAAAGGAAAGAAGGGAATGGAATTAATATGAGAAAATGAAAAAATGGAAACAAAGCATTTGCAAATAGGGAGGTCAGGGGAATGGGGAAAAAATAAGAACCAAGAGAGATTATGTAAAGGAGCAAATTTCCAATGATGAATGTCATTATATTGTATACCTAAAAATGTACCAATAAAATTAATTTTAAAAAAAGAAATATAAAGGCTCAGATAATATCCATTCTGATACTTTTCCTGAATGAAGTACCCAAGGTCTTGGGACTGTATAAAGAAAGGTATGTCTTTAAAAACAACACCAGAAATACTAACGAATTATATAATTGTTGTTGTACAAAACAGGATGAACATGGTATCAAACAGGGTCATCAGGAGCACATGAACTACATGCGTGTTTTAGAGAAAGAAGCCTTCCTCTTCAGCCCCCCCCCGTCTCCCTCCCCTCACACATTTCTAAAAGAAACGATCCACATGGAAGGGATAGAAGGGATAAGAGAGGGAACTATGCCACTGATTACTCCAGAGAAACCAAGCTGTGATGGACTGGGAGAGAAAGATGCTGAAATCCTTCTCTTCCATGAAGGGAAGCTAAGTAAACAATTGTCTTTTGACACAGCATTGATAAGTTTAATAAGACCTGAAATGAGTCTTTTTCAAAAGGTATTTTAAAAGTGATCATATGCTAAGAACACTCTGAAATTTATATCATTTTTATTTACTCCTTTGCTTTTAATTTTTATTTTATCAAAGAGGTGCCTGTGGTTTATTGGTTTTGGTTTGGTTTGGTTTGGTTTTTTGAGACCAGGTCTCACTATATATTCTAGGATGGCCTCGAAACCCTTGTGATTCTCCTGCCTCCTCCTCTAGTGCTGGGATTACAGGCATGTGCCACCACCCCCGGCATGCCTGTGGTTTAAAAATTAAATACTGGTGTTTATAAGATCCAGAAATACATGTGATATTAGTTTATTTCATTCCCACTGGAAGATACCTGGACCACAGTGTGTGTGTGTGTGTGTGTGTGTGTGTGTGTGCGCGCGCGTGCGTCTGTGTGTGTGTGTGTGTGTGTGTATGTCTCCCAGAGTGTGAGTCACTGTCATCCTGAGACTCTGGGGACTCACAGAGGCCCCTGACACCATGCCCTGCTTCAGCTCCTCCTCCCAGAAGGCAGCAACATTTGGTTGTCTCTTCTTCACCTGTTTACCTCCCTGTTTTCAAATAACAACCTGTTTTGTAGTCAAAAGCTCTGGACGTTTTTTCCCATTTCATATATTACATACTGACTTTCTAACAGGAAAGAAGGATTTAGGCCACCCCTACACACAGCTCTCTCCACATTCTCCTGTCATAGATACAGCAGGATGATCACTCAGATCCTCATAAATACATAAATATGACCTGCAGCTGGACCACATGTGTAAGATAGTTATATTTCTTTTCTGATACACCTTTTTGTTTTCCTGAAGTCAATGTTTGTCCTGCTTTTGGTTATCTCAAGGTTGCTTGGTTGCAGGACTAGGCTTTGGTCCTCTCCTTCTGCACCCAGTGTCCTCTGGGTGCTGTCCTTTCCTGTTCTCTGGTCCATAAAGCCATGTACAGCCCCATCCCTCCACGCTCTTTGAGTGAAATTTCAAAAGGAAGTGAGGGTCATGAAGACATGGGTTCTACTGACCAGGCCATGGATCAATGCCTCCCTGACATTGCTGACTGACTATGGCTGGGAGACTCCTGCAGGGGACAGTGAGGAGGCCAGATGCACGAAGGCAAAGCTGGCACCCTGACCTTTCTCCTGACACCAGTGAGCCTTGCCCAGCCAGCCGTGTTGTCCAGCTGCTCACATCCCTTTGCTTTTGTAATTCTAGAAAACATTTGTTTACATAAAACATACATTGCTTGAATGAATAAAAGAAGGAGGAGAGCCAGAGTCCTGGAGGGGCCCGCACACCTACCTTCACTGCGCTGAAGCAGAGAACGTGGAGCAGAGCAGCTGCCAAGATGCTGCGGCCCACGCTGTACAGGGCCGACAGGATCCCAGACACAGCTGGAACACAAACACCAACAGTTCCTTTCTCCACTGGCCATTCTCGAAATTAATGAATGGTATGAGACAGTAAGAGAAGGGTATAGCTTTCAGATACAAATTGCTTGTCCAAGGGGCAAGAAATATATCTATGGGATCTGTAAGAAAGCATAGGTGGCTGATGGTGCAAGGGAGGGAGGGAGGGAAGGGGTGACCATTTAGCTGGGCATGTGAGAGGGAAGCATCTGGGGGAAGCCTGCACTCCATTCTTGGAAGGTCAAGGTAATGAATGATCGGGGGGAGCAAAATCCGCAAAGGATGGGCAACAGGCAGGTGAGCCTGTGTGCGTGTGTGTGATGTATGGAGGTGACAGTAATCACTCTGTGCACGTGATGTCATTTCAGCGGCCTTGAGGTCAAGGAGTTTGGTCCCATCTAGAGAAGAGCAGGCTGAAAAGCCACACCACCTGGGGACGACTCCAGTAAGTGCTGGGTAGGGTCTAACCCATCTTAGTCTGCATCTCAAGCACTATATTAAATGGGTTCCAGGGACAGTATGCAGACACAGGTTACCTATCTGTTCAGGTGCACACACAACACACCCATGATGGCACACTCAGGCTCACACTGACACACTCACTCCAAGACTTGTACATGTGTGTATTCAGATACATACACACACACCCACTCACACACATGCACATACAGAGACTTCTCGCCAAGTCACAGAGAATCCTTTGCTTACTTGTTTCTCTGCTTATGCCTTTACTCATTGAGGCTGGCTGAGCCACTTCCAGTGGAGCTGGGTCCATCTGTGGACCCCTCATCCTGGCCCAGATTGAGTAATGTAAGAGCTCAGGATAAAGTAAGGCCACCTGCCAGGCTCCCAACCTCTGCCCAAGGCTGTCACCTCCTCTGACCCTTAGACCCTTAGCAGAAGGGAAGCAACTCACCAGAACCACCAAAAAGCAGCATGTCGATTTGTTCCAAAAGGTAAGTACAGAAGGTGTTGATCTGCGGGAAGAGCCCAAGGAGCGAAATCGCAGGGAAGCAATACAAAAATACTGAAAATACATGAACAGAATCGATGATAAGCTGAGTGCCATAACTGGTTGCTCCTACAAAGCTACTTCCTTGCCTTCTGGATTCTTTACCACCCAGGCCACCAAAGGCAGAACAGAAATGTATTGTGGAAGTAAAGGGGCTGGCCTACGAAAAGGTATGCAGAGCAGCTCAAACAAAGCTGAAATCTCAGAGATAGGAAGGAGATAGAAGAGCTGTCTTCAGAATTAGATTTGGAACTAGGTGTGGTAGATACCTGTAATCCCAGAACTCTGTCAAGAGGATCACAGATTTGAGCCTAGCCTGGGCAATTTAGTAACTTAACAATACCCTGCCTCAAAATTTTAAAAAAGAAGAAAATAAAAAATAAAAGGGGCTGGAGATGTAGTTCAGTGCAGACCCTGTGTTCAACTCTTAGTACCACCAAATTAAAAAGAAAAGAAGTATTGGACTTGGAGGGCTGAGGGAGGGAGGAAAGATGGGGAAACCATGGGGCCATTTAGAATAGAGAGCCAATAGTTATGGGGATCTCTTTTTGCACAGGGAGGGAACAAGAAGTGGAGCCAGGGGCACCTGGCCTTGTGCATCAGCGCCGTCATGATCACAAGAGAACTAACTCTTGACTACGCTTCGAACACTTGTTGGGAAGTAGAGTTGAGTCAAAGCCAGAGCTGTCACAAAGGGCAGGAGAGCACAATTCACTGAGGAACTAAGGGACCTAAGGGGCAGGACCCCCGGGAGGTGAGGAAAGACCATGTCACCTCCCATTGTCATGACTGTGCAACAGAGCAATCCTTTAAAGCCTTCCTAGGCTGTAATTCAATGCCTCCAAAATAATGTGTGAGAGGGCAGGGAAGCGAGAGCGCTGTGTTTCACAGCAGCTTTTCCCCCAGCTTCCCCCTCCAGGCTCTCTTCTAGTCCACAGACATGGAAATCTGAGGCAATGCAGCAATTCACCTGCTGACTCAGGTACCAAGAAGAGGGGAAATGAAGTTTGATACTGACAAACCTTAATAAAACTAAGGAAATTCAATATGAAATCCAGTATGAAGCATTGGCACCATGTCCTGAAACCACATAAACCACAGTGAGCAACAGGAGCAGGAAAGGAAAGGCAAGATGCTTCAGCTCTTCCAAAAAATCGGAAGCACAAACTACCCAAAGTGAACTAGCAGGCACTAGAGTATTTGTACATTCCTTTGTCTAACAATTGGTTAAAAGTATGGGAAAAATCTCTCCAAAACAAGGACTAAGGGACAGTGCCAACTCTCTGTGGAATTTGATGCAGTGGACATGGCCGTGACAATATGCTTGGGTTGGGGCCTCATCCTTTGCTTGGGTTGGGGCCATGCTTTGGTACATGGTGATGTTGTAGAAGATGTCTGTGGCAAGACTTTAACTCTGTTGTGGAAGCCAGAGCACCTGCTGCAGTTTGGATCTGCAATGTGTCAGAGCCTGGGTCGCCGGCCTCCACTGCTATTGGGAGGTGATGGACCTCAAGATGGGGCCTAGTGGGAGGTTTTAGGTCACTGGTAAGGTGTCCTTAAAGGGCACAGTGTGACACCCAGTCTCATCTGCTTTCTTTTCACATCCTGGCCAGGAAGTGAACAGTTTTGTTCTGCCCTGCCCTCTTGCCACCCTGTGCTACCACAGGCCCCAAAAGCAATGCCGTCAGCTGACCACAGACTGAAACCTTTAAAACTGTGAGCCAAAATAAACCTTTTTACTTTGCAAGTTGCCACATTGGGTATTTGTCATAGTGGTGACAGCAGACCAACCCAGCACCTGAAAGCAGCTCATTCCTCCATTCAGGGGAGGCAATGAGGTACAAACACCAATCTGCTAGACCCAGCTCTATTAGATCTCAGGTCTTTGTCAGTCTCTATGAATGGAATTCAGAGATATGAAAAGAAAGACAGAAAATTAACTATGGAACACACAGTCATGAGCATCAACATTTAACCCATACAATTTTGAGCAAACTGACCAGTTCCTCTTCCCTTGACCTTGGGGCTCAGAGCCCAGCCACAATGACTGGGTACTATGCTGTCCCCTCCCCTTCCAGGGCAAGCACAAGTGCTGAGAAGAAAGGACCACAAGACAGTGTTGGGATGGAATGACACTGCAGGCAGATGAACACTGAAAGTAAAGAGATGTTCTCCAGGAAAAATACATTCGCCAGTTCCATCAGAGTACAACTAGTGATGCAAAAAGGCCTGGAATACAGGATAGTGGTACAAGGTAAGTGAAGTGGCAGGAGACAGCAGAAAGCCATTGCCAAGGAGGAATGTGCCCACAGCCCTGGGAATTAATAAGACAATACAGAAGGGACACTGGTCAACAGGAGCCCATGGCACGAGGACCTCCACATAATGTTCTAGCAGAGGAAAGCTCCTGTGGGTAAGTAAAGGCTGCAGAGGCACAATGCAAGGAATGGGGGGGGGTGTCCCTGAATCTCACCTGTTGGGTGTAGCTAACCACATTTGAAACTGTGGAAATTATTTTGTCCTTTTTTTCCCAAGGGTAAAGAAATAAAATCCCTGCAGTTTTATTCATAAATTTCACTGGGAACAAACACTTTCTGTTAGCATACTGATGAACAGGTATTTGATTCTCTCCCACTTCTTCCTTACTCCTATTTTCTATGATAATTACCATAAATAGAGAGATTTCTGGTTCAATTCTATTTCAAGCAAAATGTATAAGTAAGAATACTGTAGCTTAAGCTTATTTCTTTTGGTGCCATTAGTAAGAATGACTGCGGAGCAGATGTAAGTGTATGCACTGTGGTCCCCAAAGGGCTGCTCCTGTACGAACTCACTCTTCTTTTATGGACTATGCAGCCAGGAAACAAACATCCCTGCAGACATACAGGGTGACGCTGTGTGTTGAGGGAAGGGGAGGGTGGTCCAAGCCAGTAACTGGCTACTAAGCTGCCACTCATCTCCAAGGACTGTGTGATTGAAGCTCCATTATGGTAGCCAAGGGTTTATCATCTCAGGGACTAAAATGAAAAAGAAAACTCACATCTGAAAAGAACCCATTTGAGAAAGTGCCTATCCTATGCATGGACTCAGCTAAAGCCATGGTCTTCTCTATCTCACCTCAAAGGTCCTCATGCCAGGAGACTCTTTGCATCCCTGGCTCCAAACATCCAAAAGACAGCTCCACCCAAGTCATCTCACAGGCCTTCCTTGCCCTGAGCCATGGTCCACACACCAGGTGTCTAGAGTAGTTTTTGCAGCTGCAACAAAGAACAAAGTCTCTTCCCTCCAGCCTGGGCACCTTTGAGCCCCTAAAGGTTCTGAGTGTGCCTCTAGCTCCAAAGGTTTCTTCTCTGAGTCACACAGTCCCTGTTTCATTGGCCCATTTCCAGATCCTGTGTGGCTTTCCTCCTCAGCACCTGCCCCAGCTGTGTCCTGGTCCCTTTGAAATAGGATGTTCCAAACTAAGAACCCCTTGGCTTTCACAGCTATAGGTCAATTACGATAGCAGCCTCACCAACAGGATTTTGCTGAAGTTACCCCAATGAAAAGTAATCAGCTCTAGCCCTGCCGTTACCAGTCTCCGCCTGAGCACAGGACTTGAGTGCTAAGGAGGCATTTCACTTTCTCTTGAAAATAATGATTGAAAATGCAGAGTGATAGTCTGAACATTAATAAAGGGTAATAAAAGCAAAATAATTTACAGAAGAATATTATTTTTGGTGTTTCCATCTTCTTTATTCACTTTAACTCCTTCTTCCATAGTTCTGTCATCCAACATTCTCTTGCCTTTGAGGTGCTCCTCTCTTGCACTCCCTGTGACACAAAATGTCACCATCCTTCCACCAACTGTCCCTGCCATTGGGCAGGCTGCAACCCCTCCTGCCCATGGAGGCAGCACCAGCTCTCTGAGAGCAGCTCTTCTGCTTCTCTCCCTTGCTGCCCCACCTCTGATGCTGGAGGTGCTGGGCAAGAACCTCACAGCGCAGTGGTCCCATGGATGGCTCTACAGAGGCACATTCTAGAAGATACTTCACATCCTCTGTACCAGCCTGGGGAGGATCATTCCACCCAACACCAAGTGAGGCACAGTGGTGCCTTTGGCTACCTCATAGTGCGTGTCCTTAGTTCTTACTTCTCTTGCCCTTTTTATAAGCACTCTTTGTTATGGGTAGAATTGTGACCCACCTAAAAAAACACTGAAATCCTTAATACCAGTTCCTATGACTCTGAACTTAATTGGAAATAGAGTCTTTGCAGATGATCAAGTCAAGATCTGGGCCCTAATCCAGTATGACTGTTCTCCTTATTAAAAGAGTAGATTTGGACTCAGAGACACACAGGCACATGGAAGAAGGAATGAAACCCCAGGAAGATGATGTCAAGGAGGAACCAACCTTGCTGACATCCTGACCTTGGACTTCCCACTTCCAGAACTGTAAAACAATACATAATTGTTCTTCTAAGCCAGCCAGTTTGTGGTGCTTTATCACAGCAGCCCCAGAAAACCAATGCACATCTTCACCCTCCTACTAACCTTCTGTTTTCTCCTTTCTTCCTCTCCTTGCTGGAGATATTCCTGGATATCACAATGGTTCTGTACTATGCAAATCCCTTGACAGTTGGAGAGACAGAGGGAAAGAGGTTCCACAAAGCAGAAATGGCTTCAAATTGCTTTTGAAGGAGCCTCTGCTCCTTCCTCCCCATCTCATTTGCTCTCAGTGTGTTTCACTGTCTTGCTCATTGCAAATTAGTACGTCATTTAACACATTCATTTCATGAAGCTGCTATTGTTCTACTTTTCTATTTATCTTTACCACAGAGGTCATTTAGTCATCTTGCTGGATCATTTGCTGCCATTTCTACTTGTCACTGTTGACAAGCAAACAAAAATAACACTAGGAAGCTCTAAGGGAAAAGAAATTCCAGGGAAGAAGATAGGAAGGACATACTCCCTGCCCCCTCACTCCCTAAGGAATTGAAGAAAAATGAAAGGAGAAGATGCATAGCCAGTAGCTTTTTGCAACCCAGGGGCTACTGCAGAATGAGCAGTCTTGGTTTTCATGAAGTTCACTAAAGCCTTGCTTTTGAGCTACAATCACATTCTAATTCTACTGTGAGTCTGCCATAACAGGACAGCTATATTTACTCATGTTGGCATTTTTGGAGTAGCAAATTTTTGGAGTAGAAAAATGGGAATGAGGGAGAGATTCATGTTCTGAAAAGCCATTTGTGCATGGAATGTGTGTCATGCATTTCTTCTCCCGAATATCTTTCTACAGGTAATCTGCAAAACATGCTTCCTCTGCCATTGAAATCTAGCAGGCTAAGTTTCCTGATGATGCATGGAAAGTGATCCTAAAGTCCATTTATATGTTAATTTATTTAGCACTTGAAGCACTTTCACGTCCATCAGTTCATGCATTCCACAAGTGTTTATCAGGTGCCTGTGTACCTCACAACCCACTCTGGATGCTGAGAACTGTGCGGTGAGTGAGCAGGCAGTCTCTGGGCAGGATTGGAGGGCATGAATCAAATGAGACAAGTGTAAGTAGATTACTACAAAAGGATTAAGTGTCATGCAAAGTATATCTCAAGGGAGTAGAAGATGGGACTAAATTAGGAAAATGAGCTGTTAGGAACCAGTCTAGTCGAGGGTGGGGCAGACGACAGAACACTTTGGAGTCTAGGAGCATAAGCCGAGGGGCTATCTGTCCTTGTCACTGTGAGAGGAAGAACTCTGTCAGCACTGACCCTCGCTTGAGATCCAGGGAAAACACAGCACACAGGATGGATGTGGGGTGCAAGAGGGAAAAGGTGACATTTGAACACAGACATCTTCCTCATTCTTGTAGACTTCTTCGTTCCTAATCCCCAGGGCTTCACGTGTTCATGACTACAGACTCCAGCACTGTTGTTAAAAAACAAAAAAAGATGGCAAGAAAGGGCAGTACTCCAAAGCGTGTGTAGTCATGACTGGGCATCTCTATCTGCTGTAACTCTGACTTCTCCACAGAGGCTGACTTCAAGGGGAAGATACTGAGCCAAGGTATCACAGAAGGTCTGAATGACTAAAGCCTTTATTGGTGTGTGTGTGAGTATGTGTGTGTGTGTGTGTGTGTGTGTGTATACACACTTTAAATAATATTAAGCAGTAAAATTAAAAAGTATCACTAAGATTAGAAGCAAATGTTCTTGGCACCAGAGCACTGCTTCTGTTACCTACCTAACTGGACTTCAAGATTTTCTGAAATGTGGTCCCTGAGCCCTAGGCATTAAGAAGCTGCTCAGCTCCTCCTCCAGTGTAACAGAGTGAAATGCTGGGCTCTGAATGTAGGGGTTGGAATGGAGACATGAAGTTTGCTACCAGTGCAGTAGGAGGAGGTATGGGGGCACAGAAGCTGGGAATGAGGTCAGGGGTGAAGTTTCTGTTCATATGGAGCACAGGGGAAGCTTCCTCCACCCCACCCCACCTCAGTTCCACTGAGAAAATCAGGGAGATGCCAGGAGGTAGGGGACAAGACGATGCCACCCTGAGGTTCTTGTGTCAGACTCCAAGCTGGCACATGAGAGGCCAGAGGTGGTATCATTGGTGCTGCTCTGCATCATTTCAGCTGATTGATGTGATCATAGCCAGTCACAAGGTGACAGGTGTGTGACTCCCTGCTGTATGGCAAGAATAGTAGAGCACTTGCAGTCCAGCCTGCAAAGCTGTAGTTAATACTGAATAGGCTCTTTGCAAGCTAAGGATACCAGTGTTGCTGCTTGATGCCAGACATCATTCTGTACGTTTAAGTATATTAACTCACTTAAACCTTACAATAACTTCTGAGGTGTCTTGTATCTGTGTCCCCACATGACAATGGAATGCTGCTCAGGTGCGCATCTGGTGACATGGCAGAGCTGGGACTCAAGTCACTGGGAGCCCGACTGAAATCAGGCTCTAAACCATACAATGACAAGGGGTTCACTTACAAGGAGTATTGTACAACACACTCCCGGACATGAAGGCAAGCAGAGTGTGCCTATGGGAGACAGGGTTCCCAGAGCATCCACGCTTCTGCACGGGCTGGGAATGGTGCCCACTCATGCATGCCCAGAGCATCTCTGCTCCAGAATGGGGTTGAGGCAGGAAGCTCGATGGCCAGGTCACCCCAGCAGCCACCACAGCCACCATGCTTCCGATGTCACGGAGTGCAACGTTTTGGTCATGGATATCAAAATCCTTTCAGAGGGCCCAGGGATTTAGCTCAGTGGTGCCAGTGCCTGCCTTGCAAGCGCAAGGTCCCGAGTTCGATCCCGATACAAAAAAAAAAAGAAAAGAAAATCCTTCCAGCGAAGTCCACTGGTGGATGAGTGGAGCTCCAGTTCCTGAATGGTCTCCCATAGAAGCACAAGCCTGGAGGGAAAGACTCATTTTTCACCCAGAGATCAAGTAATGAGGTATCTCCAATGAGTGAACCAGGTGAGAGGAAGACATATCCTCCTTCCCTTATAGTCACCCCTATGACCCAGAATTTCACTCACCTATCAGGTAGTCCCTGGCTGTCTGCAGGGACTCTGGGGAGAAGAGCTTCAGGCCATACACGATGTAATGGGGAGGGTGCCTGGATTTGGCTTCTCCATCAAGAAGCAAAACGAGGCCACAGAGAACGCAAAAATAGATGGGTCGGCTATAGGTGATGATTTGGTTGTGTCCCTAGAAAATAAATACAGCTTCTGAGTTGTACCTTTTTATTTTGACTAAATTACAAAAGTGTAGAGTCAATCATTTACATCACATAATTTATACCATTATAACACATCCTTCCCCTTTCCATGCATGCAAAATATCAGGAAGAGAAAAAGGAAAAAGAGTCTGATGCTTATTCTGTCAAATTGGAACAAGATTATTAAAAAGAATGATATGCTTCTCAATTGCAGCAAAATTTACCTAAAAATTTAATTACTATCTTTGGAGGAAATCTAGATCTAATTCAATGCTTTCTCCAACAATAAGACTTCCATTCATCTTGTTCATTTCCAGTGCAAAATTAATTTAAACCCTTGGGCTCTACTAGTAATAAGAAATAGAATTGTAAGTCATGAGCTTAAATTCCCTAGTGCCATAGAAAGCAAAGAAATTTAGATCCAAAGTTATGCTTGCATTGTTTACCATGTCTTGGTGAAATACGGTAGAATATTTCATTCTTTAAACAAACTTGTTAGTTTGACTATTTAAACATCATGTTCTTCTGAAGGGAACCAAATACTTAGCAGACTCATCTTAGCTCACAAGATATTGTTAGAAGAAGTAGAAAGATTTTTTATTCATTTTCTCCCATACTAGAAAAATTTAAGGAAAAGATGTAACATCAACTTCCAGGACAAAAGCCAGCAGTGAATTTACATTGCACAAATCAATACACAATTCATAAGATTTGAAAAACAGACAAAAATGAATTAGGGGGAGATTATACTTTGCAATTCATGAATTACTTTGACTGTAAAGAGTTAAAGATTAAAGTGATACAGTTTCAGATGTGAATTTCTAGTCACTGCTTTGAATAGGTTATATTTAGAAATGCAATTTAAATTGCCACTGCTTCTAAAATAGAAATAGTCCTATTCCAAGACCATCTTTCAATAGGAAGGAAGACACAGGATCTCCACAGAGGCGGGCTATGTTTGGTCCTAAAATCAGACTGAGTCTTGAAAAATATTTTCTTTTGAATCCAACTAGGTCACAGATTAATGAGTATGGAAATACTTTCTTTGCATTAAAGAAAAGAAAAAATTAAAGTCTAAGCTAAATCTAAACCCACTTTTCATCAAGTGAATAGCCAAGTAAATTAGCTGGTATAAATAGCTGTGCGGAATACCGATACACATGTGTAGGGGACATTTCCTCAAACTGACACAGTTCAGGAAATATGATTAAATAGCTAACTTTCATTTGCTTTGATTCTTCTTTTTATTAAAAGGTTAAAATATATTATGTAGCAGCTGAAAGTCTCTGGCCTTGAATAGTTTGAGATTTCATTTTGGGTCTTCCAAGTCAAACCTGATCAGAGATAGGAATGCTCTCTTTGTATTTGTACTTTGAGAAACAGAACATGTGGTGCCCTTACAAAGAGCTTGCCCTCTTCACCATGTTCACACATTTCCTAATTTCCTCATCCTGAATCTGAGGTCTCAAAACCATTCTAAACGTATCACTAATACATAGCACATAAGTCACTTATATCTGCCTTGATTCCTAAGAGCACATACTGACAAAATTTCCTCCCTTGCCAGTTCCTGATTTTATACATAAATCAATCACCAAATCTTCATGAATTTTCTTTCTTTTTTTTTTTTTTAATAAAAATTCCACTCACAGCAAGGTGTGATAATGCACATCTGTAATCCCAGAACTCTGAGAGGCCGAGGAAGAATTGTTAAATTCGAGCCCTGGCCAACTTAGTGATGTAATGAGGACCTGTCTCAAAATAAATAAAAAGGGAGTGGAGATGTAGTTCAGTGTAAAGGCCTTGGGTTCATTGTCCAGTACAGGAAGGGAGAGAGGGAGGGAGGGGGAAAAGAAAAGAAAATATTCCACTTGTTCCATAAGTTGAAGTCTGATCACAGTCTCTTAAAAGTTCACTTAGCTCAGTCATCCTGCATCGGCTTTTCACCTTAAAGTACACTACGGGAAGCACCTCTGAGGCCAGTGGGGAATGTCATACAAGGTTGCAGCACAGACACTGGTGGTGCACATATTCATGTTCCCATCAGCCCCCCACATGCAAACTGTGTGACATGCTAGTCACAGTGTAGTGGCAGAATGAGGAGACAAATCAGAACCACCAGCAAAGCACACCTACATGTACTCAGCGACAAACCAGCCTAATGGTCCTCTTAGGAAGAGAGTGGGATGGTCAGATGTTTTAAAATTTTGTTATTAAGAGCCGAGTGCGGTGGAACACACCTCTAATCCCAATACTCTGGGAGGCTGAGGCAGAAGAATTATGAGTTGAAGCCTAGCCTGGGCAATTCAGTGACTTAGCAAGAATAAAAAATAAAAAAGGGCTGGTGATGTAGCTCAGTGCAAAGGCTCTGGGTTCAACCTCCAGTACCTCAAAAGAAAAAAACTGTTTTTAAGTGAAAAAAGATTTTTATTACAAGGAAGATGGAGCATCAGAGGGTCTTAGAGAACCCAGGGCCTGGGGTATAGCTGGGCCTCAAGAGCAAAGTGAGGATACTGTCCACAGGCTGACTAGAGCCCCTCTAATCCCTGCTGACTGTGGGAAACCAGCCCAGGGTGCACCCCAGGGCAGAGCATAGCCACTCACCCACCAGGCTCTCAGACACATGCTCCCATCTTGGCCACACTGCCAGGTCCAGCCATCCCTGAGCTAATATAAACCTACCATAGGGTGATAGCCACTAACCTCTATCCACTCTTTCCATGCCTGGCACTCTCTGCTCTCCCTACTTGGATGTATTCACTCCCTTGTCCTCAGGGCACCCTGAGGAGTGACACTATCACCCTTGTTTCAACAAGAACGAGCTGAGGATAAGGACAGACCGATCTCTGGTTTTAACAATATGTTCAAACTTGCCACCTATGTTTCTGGGAGAAAAAAGCAAAGAATAAACATCAGCCATTTATTCTTAAGTGCAAGAAGTGGCTGAATTGAGTCAGGCACGGTGGCATACACCTGTAATCCCAGCACTCTGGGAGGCTGAGGCAGGAGGATGATAAGTTCAAGTCCAGCCCAAGCAGCTTAGCAAGATCATTTCCCAAAATAAAAAATAAAGAGAGGCTGGGGATGTAGCTCAGTGCAAAGGCCCTGACTTTTACTAGGGTTCAATCCCTAGTACCACCAAAACAACAATAACAGCAACAACAAAAACCGGTAGAATTTATTAATAATCACCTCTCTACAAATACAACAGTCTAGTTTAAAAAGTAGTCAGATCTGTTGATAGCCCTATGTGAATGGAAATTGGCCATGGCTAGAGATGGCATCAGGCTTGAGAGCCAGCTCTGTTCCCAAAACCTCAGTTCTCTCTCAACCCTACTCCTCAAGTTGTCTCATCTATAAATTGAAGATAATAAATTTGCCTCCTAAATATCCACATGGCTCAGTCAGTTTGTAAGAAAAAAACATTTTGCAGCTAGTCTATTTTCTTTCTTCATTTCAACTACTGGAGAAATGCCAATTCAAATAAGGAACTGATCTACTTAAAAATCTGTGTAAGCAAATTGATTACTGCAATAAACATGGTTAGATAGCTACGCCTTACTATGACAGCAAGAAAAATCATTTCTTCCTGCTTCACTATGACAAGCTTGCTCAGATAATGGAACAGCAGCTTGGTCTATTCCTCTAGGAACCAGACAATATTATTCCAACTCAGTGCAGCGACGTGGGGGTCACAATAAGAGCACTGCAAATCTACCAGGGTGGTGGGACGTCCTTGCCCCTCCCATCCTACCACGCTCTGCCTCATTTCTGAGGGTACACACAGGACAGGGATAATATATAACTCCTCCCAACCAAGCTACTCAGAAAATCAGCAACAACGGGGCAAAGACAGGAGAAGGGAGCCAGTGATGCCTCACCGGGGTGGGCTTCCCCAAAAACCTTCAGAGCTGCACGATTCCTTCATACCACCTACCCGAGATTTCTGATGCTAATCACAACAATACATCTTAATAGTCTAATTATGCAGCTGCAACTTATCTTGACATTCAGACTCCGGGAGAAAAGGAGATGTATTATATGTAAACCAATTATGGGGAACAGAGGAATTTAACAAGACAGCGAATAGCATCTATGCCACGTGATCATCCAATTATAAGCTTTTCTTAATTACTATGAGCCAAACATGGGCTACCACAGATTTAAAATCAGTCCTAAATCCTGGATGTGAATTTTTTAAAAGTGCAATAAAGGGAAGATCCAGCTTTTTTTCACTGGAGGAGTTTTCTAGACATTCACAGGAGTTGAGTAACAAAGGCAAGAAGGGTGCTCAGAGAGCTCAGAGGGCCATCCAGCAGTGGGCTCCACTCAAAGAGCAAAGGTAGGTGCCTGCAAGGATGGCACCAACACCATGGTATCTCCAGGCTTCAGGGCCTCAGGGGTGGAACCACTGTGCAGTCACGGCAGAATGCCAGACACCAAGAAGATCAGCTTCAGCAAGCCCAGAGCCTCTGTACTAAATCAGCCCAAAGTCACGGGGTTAAATGGGACCAGTGTACTTAAGAACAAGGAATGAGAAGAGATCAGCTTCATGTAAAAAGAATTATCTATTCAGGGAAATGCAAATTAAAGCCACAATAAGATATTATCACACACCTGTTAGAATGGCTACTATACAAAAGACAGAAAGATAAATTTTAATGAGGATGTGGAGAAAAGGGGACTCCTGTTTACCACTGATGGCACAGCCACTATGGAGGACAGACAGTACCAAAAATGACAAATAGGACCAGTATATGATCCAGCAATCTCACTTCTGGGTATATATCCCCAAAAATGAAAATACAGTAGCAAGTTGAAGAGACATCTCCACTGCCACATTCATTGCAGCATTGTTCACAATTGCCAAGATATTGAAACAAATTGTGCAACTTGTAAAGGATGAGCTGATAAAGAAATGTGGTATATATATATATATAAGTGTATATACACACACAAACACACACACACAGAGTAGAATATTATGTAGCCTTTAAAAAGAAGGAAATTTTGTCATTTGCAGCAACATGGATAAACCTGGAGATAATTATGCTAAGAGAAATAAGCCAGCCACATAAAGACAAATTACTTACGTGTGGAATAAAAAAATCATACTCATAGAAGCAGAGAGCAAAATGATGGATGCCAGGGAATGAGATGAGAGAGGGTACAAAGATTCATGTACACAGAAAGAATAAGTTTTGAAAGTCTATTATTTAGCATGGTGAGTGCAGTTGATAATAATGTATTACAGTCTTGAAAAATGCTGAGAGCAGATTTCAAATGTTCTTACCAGAAAAAAAGGACTGAAGTCAGTTAATTTGATTTTGTCATTCCACCTTGTATACATATATCAAATTATAATGTTTTACCCAAAATATATGCAATAATTCTTTTGAAAAGAAGTATAGGCTTCTGGAATGACCTCTATATGCCAAGCATTGTTCTAAGCACATTGCATGCATTTCTTAATCCCCACAGGCAATTACTTAGCTTTATTTACACATAGGGAAACTGAGGCTGGGAAAGGGCTGGTGGTTTTCTCAGTATCAAATATTCAAGTGGAAGAATAGGAAATAATGGTAGGCGATCTGATGGCAGAGTCCACAGCCTCCCACTGGGCGCTCGGTCCTTCCCAGGATGAGTCGAGAGATAGCAAAGACCCACTGCCGGGCCATGTATCCCCTTCAGCACCCACATCATGCCATGCTCCTCAAACCTAGCCAGAGCATGACCACCATGCATGCACAGTTCTAATACCTTACTTCTGTTTAAACATTCAAGCCTCAAGCTGGGTGTGGTAACCCTAGTCCCCCACGAGGCTGAGGCAGAAGGATCTTGAGTTTGAGCCCAGTCTGGGCAACTCAGCAAATTAGTGAGATCTGGTCTCAAAACAAAACAAAAAGGAGTGAGGATGAAGCACAGTGTAAAGAGCCTAGGTTCAACCCTCAGAGCTGAAAAACCTCCAAGGTACAGATACAGATGCAGATTTTGCCTTTTGAATAGACTCTGGCTTCCCCCTTGTCTCCAACACAAGCAGACGACACAAGCTCCTTGCCTCCATATGGAAACTTACATGTATTGGTGAGGCAGGGTCGGGCTGGACGCTCTGAAACACAAAGCAGAAGTGCCTGTGTCATCTCATGATCGCAAGGCTAGGTCAGGGAGAGCACAGGCAGGGTGAGAGCAGGATGAGGTCTTGCCTTGAGCAGGGAGTATTGGCAGCTGGCCATGACCACACAGAAGAGCAGCACCCACAGGTCTCTGCAGAAGCCTCGGTTCAGTGTCAGAAATCCCAGGAGGGAAACCAGGACGCTGAGCACAATTGCCAGCACATTCTCTTTGACATCTTCAGTCCTGAGCAAAACACATAAAGAGACACAGGGGAAATAAGAGATAAGCTTGCTGGTATTTCAACAGAGGATCCCTGCCTGTGTCTACAAAGACAAGCAGTGACAACAGAGAAGCCACCATACGCAACCTTCCTTATTGCTGTGCTATTCAAAGCAAGTCCTTGTTGTGACCCCAGGTCTCTTTTATTGAAATAAATGAAATACAATCCCATTGGAGTTCCTTGGTCACTGTACTGGTCTTACTGTGATGCTGCAGTCAGTGATGTCTCCTGCAGTCAGGGACTGTTTCAGAGCTCAGGGCTCCCTCAACAGAGGGCAGGAGGTGGGACCTTAATACTCAGCTAAGGCCAGAAGTCAGATAGCAGACTGGCCAGACACCAGATAATGTCTCTGAGAGCCACAGTTTGCTGAGGACTTTCAGAAGCTCAGAGCTCCAGCTGGAGAACAGAGAAGAGCTGAGACCTCCCAGACTGTAGGCAGCCAGAGTGCCACAGGGTGATTTTGTTTGGGGGACTTCCCATGTGAGATGGAGGATCCCCCAGACCAGATGTGGAGTGTTAACAGGTGGGCATGCAAAGGGGTGGTTTTAGACATTGATGGGAATGGGTCAAGGGCTGGTCATGGTGCCAGGGCAGACAGGACATAGCTAGGGCAGGCAGGGCTGCATGGCAGGGCAAGGCTGATATGTCAAAGGCCAGGTGGTCAGGGAATGACTGCGGAAGTGCTGGGGGGAGCAGGCAGGGACAAGCAGAGATTTGGAATATGATTTCAGAGTTGAGAGGACGGGAGACAGAGTGGAGCACTGGGAGGGGTTACTGAAATGGAGGTAGGGGAGATGGTGACAGCAGTGTAGACACAGTCAGGGAAAAAGAATTCAGAGATTTAGTGGAGCATTCATAAGAATTCTGAGAACACTTCTGACCTTACCAATTTTACTCATGTGTATATAGGTTTCCCCCACTAAATTATGATCATTTTTAGGTAAGGTTAATTGACAACTTGTGCCTGACATGTAGACAGTCAGGAATGTTTTTTCAAATTAACAGACTTTATTTTTTTTTGAGATATTTTAACTTTGTAGGGAAAGTGAGGGGAAAGTTCCTACATTCCCCCCTCCTGCCAGGTACACATATGCAATATCCCCACCCTCAGCATCCCATACCAGAGAGGAACACTCTCTATCATCAAGGACCTACACGGATGTGTCCTCATTACCTAAGTCCAGAATTTACATGAAGGCTCACGCTTGGTGTTGACAAATACATGATGATGTGTACCATGATCATAGCATCACAGAGTAGTGTCACTGTCCAAGAACCAGCTGGGTTCACCTCTTCATCTCTCCCTCTTCCAACCTCCTATAATCTCCATCTTTTTATTTGTTCAAAGTTTGGCCTGTTCCCAAATGTCACACAGTTGGAATTATGCAGTACATAGCTTCTGAAGACTGGCTTGTTTCACTTAGTCATATGCATTTGCTTCCTCGGGGACTCTCTATGGCTTGATAGCCCATTTCTTTTTATCCCATGTAATAATTCATGGTACGGATGCACCACAGTTTGCCCATTTACTCACTAAGTTTGCTTCTAAGTTTTGACATTGTTATAAAGCTGTATAAACATTCATGTGCCAATGTTTGTTTTGTTTTGTATTTGTTGTTTTTGAATGGACATACATCTTCCACTAAATACCAAGGAGTATGACAGCTGGATCATGCAGTAGGAATATGTTTGCTTTTGTAAGAAACTGCAGAACCGTTTTCCAAAGTGGCTGCACCTTTTCTCATTCCCACCCACAGTGAGCCAGAGTTCTGCTGTTCCATGTCCTTGTCAGCTTCTGTTTTGGATTTACACCACTCTAAAGGTTGGGTGGCAGTATCTCATTGCTGTATTGATCTGCATTTCCCTGACAGTATAAGATGTACGGCATCACTTTATGTGTTTCTTTGCCATCATTCTTCTTTGTTGAGGTTTCTGTTTGGATCTTAAATCACTTTTGTGTTTATTTTCTCTTTTTTTCCCCATAAGATATGAGGTGTACCTCAATATTTTAAACTCCACTCCACTATTTTATTCTATCCCATTGTGTTTTCTTTTTCTTTTCTTTTTTTATTAGTCCATTCTAGTTATGCAGAATAGTGGGTTTCTTTTTGGGATATTTGTATATACATATAATATCATTTTTTTATTGTTGAGCTTGAAGTGTTCTTTGCATATTTTGGATAACAGTACTTTGTCAGATTGACCTTTGTAAATACTCTTCCAGCTGTAGAATATTTTTTAGTGAATAAATAAATCAGTGAAAAATGGCCCAAATCTAATACTGACACATGAAAATGCCTCAATAGCCAAGGAAAAAAGAGAGGAACAACTAAGGAGAAAACATGTAAGGACGCACAGTAAATGCATGAATCATTTGGAAAGGATATATATCTATATATATATATGATAGATATATGTCATAGATACACATATGTGTGTATATGTGATATATAATCATATATATCATTTGAAAAGTATACACACACACACACACACACACATAGAGACAGAGACGGAGAGAGAGGAGGAGAGGGAAAGAAAGACTTCAGGGATTCAAAGGAACAGAAACCAGAGCAGCAAAGCAAGCCCTGCTTGGAGTTGGGCCTGCCAAGAAGCAGAGCCTGGTGGATAGGAAACTTGGGGCCCGCAGCCAGGAAGTGGACAACCTGATCACTTTGGCTGGACAGGACAGCAGCTGACATGACAAGATAATAGGAGCAAGGTGAACAGAGGATGCGGAAAGGTAAAGAAATGTTAAGTATTTAGGTATGGTAATGCTAATATTGAAAATTAAAAATAACTCTTTGGGGAAACATACATATTTAGTGAAAGGGGAAATCTGTGTATCTTTTATTTCCTACTATGTATTTTTAATGGAGGTAAATGTATTTTTCCATTCAGGGCCATAAAATTCATTTCATGTTTTTCAGTGTGCTCATAACATTTTGATGTGTACTTAAAAATATCTAAAGGTCTAGGAAATAAAACCAAACAATATTTCAACTTTTAAAAGTTTTTTTTTTCCATTTGGAGAGACAGAATAAAGTTTCTAGAGAGTATTTTGCCCAGATATTCTTCCACCTGGAATTCATTTCTCTGCTCCAGCCTCCATTACTCCCTTGCCTTGGTTTCTCCTCTGTCTATCCTTAAATGCTGAGTTCACAAGTTAAATCTCCAGCCAAGGAGTGCCCTGATGAAGGCTACACTTCAGAAAGATTTATTGAGAAGAGGTTTATGAGGTGCACTGGTAGGGAAAGAGACAAAGGAAGGACAAATAGCACTCCCAAGAGAGGTAACCCAGCGCCTAGAAGAGCCACATAGCAGGAGAATTGGAAAGGACACACGACTTTATACACACACCAGGGCCAGACAGAAAAGACCCCCTGATCTTGAACAACTGGACTGTGTACAACAAGGACTGATTAAGCAAACAAAGTCAAATCCAAGACTTCCATCTTGGGGGGAAAGAATTGTGACAGAACTGATGCCCAGAACTAGCCTCGGAGCTGACTGGCAAAGAGAATTGACTCAGTCTGTTCATTCAACAAAAGTACTGGTCCTAGGTCACATTCTGGGCAGTAATTAATAATAATAACAGTAACTAATATTTAAAGAAGACTTTTATGGGATAAATTGATTTAATCCTCACAATCTTACAACGGCACAGGTTATCCCCATTTAACAGACAGGAAACTGAGGCACAGAGAGGCTTGGTAGTCATCCAAAGGTCTCAGCACAGGGAAGTGCTGGAGTCTGGTTTCTAAGGATGCACTGCAGCACCCAGGCTCCCCACATCCCCTAGGGCTCTGGGGACAAGGGAGCCATGCTGTCTCTACATCATCTGTGAGCACAAAATTTAAAACTCTTTGTGACTACAAAACAGAGGATTAAGGGGCTGGGGATTTAGCTCAGTGGTTCCACTGCTTGCTTTGGAAGCACAAGGTCCTGAGTTCGATTCCTGTTACCATAAAAAAAAAAGAAAGAAAAAAATCCAGTGACACAAAACAGGGGATTAAAACCATAAAACTATAAGCATTTTTAAAAGGCAATAATCTTCTGTTTATCCTTTTTTTAGATCTCAACTGAATTTCTGGTGAATTTCTTTTTATCATTGAGTAGATTATGAATTAAAAATCTACCAAAAGATTTGTTTTTAACATGAAGGGTTAACACAAGCCACTCTACATTTCAATAATTCCTTTTTAACAGAAAAAACATAACATTTGAAAAATGCCTCATCTAACAGAATGTATTGTCTTGGATTATTAGTTAAATATGAAATGTTCCCTTACTCGTGTGCCCTTTGGGTACCATAGTGTTGTTAGCAAAACCATTATAACTCCATTCCCTGACTTGTGGGTCCTGAAATTTACTGTTGTAATTTTGCAAGACTATCGTTTTTTTCTGTGTGTGATCACACCGTTTAAGACATTATTGTAACATTACTATAACAAGTAGTCACAAGGGGACTGACAGCAACAATGTGGCCTTGCTATTGCCCCTTTGGGCTGGTGCTGAGCTGTGAAACAGCTGAGCTAAGACAGTTTTAGCAACAGCTCTTGAATTTTCAAACCAGTCTCCCTGCCAGAGCTACAGCCCTAGAAGATCACAGCAGTGACCTCTGCACAATCTGAGGAGGGAAGGATAGAAAGAAAAGCCCCCGCCCAAGCCCATCTCCATTACACCAGAACCAGCTGGAAACATCCTGCCTGCCCCCCACCCCCCCCACACACAGTGGCCACATCTCCAGCCTGGAAATATTGTATGCCGGAGGACAACTGTAAGAGGTGAGAAGAGGGAAAGATTAGCATCCGAGCTGGTGCACATCAGGCAGGAGCACTAAATGAGAATCCAGGTCCAGGGAAAAACGAGGCATCACCCTACTTCATCTCCTCCATTCCAGGCCCTGTGATGCAGACAAAGACATAGGCTTTTCTACAAATATGGGCCAGGGCATGAGTAGCCCAAAGTGTGAACTGTCCCCAAAGCTAACCTAAATCCAGACCATGTCACCCATTCTCATACCTCCAGTTGCAGCAACTATAGTTCAAGGTTTTCACTCTCAGGATCTTAGTTCTTTGACTTGGGGTTTGCAGCAGTGAAGTCTAGGAACTCTTGGAAATGTTCCAGGGAACCTTAACAAGCAGCAGTTTTCTTTTTGAAGCATGCAATGTGCACAGTGATGCCCTGTTGCGTCTGGTCACGCACATCACACATGCATGCTCAGTGGCTTACCGATCAAGTAATGCCAACAAGGTGAGCCGGTCGTACCAGACTTTGATCCACTTGCCAGGAAAAATGATAAATTTGTAAAACTGTTCTCTGTTAAATTTTCCTGGTGCTGAAGAACATGATGAGTCTTCCAGATCCTGACTTACAAGCTTTTAGATAACAAAAGAAACAAAAGAGAGGGTTTCACAGTGCCAAGCTATTGTCACAAAATACACAATAACTTTAAAATGCAAAAAGCAGATCCCAAATCCTGAAATGCAAACCAACACATTTCATTCAAAATGGATACTCTAAAAAAAGGATAAAGATCAACAAAAAGTCAACACATACCAATTCATTTTAATGTACCATTAAAATTATGCTACTCATCAATCAAACCATGACTGCTCATTAAGGACATGAAACTGGCATGGAAATAATTCTTATTAAAGAGAAAAACCAAACCAAAAGCTCTTAAATGACTTAATTTTTTCAAATGGTGTAAGTAAATGCAATACTGAGATAAATATTCAAATTTTACTATGACTCCAGAGATTTTCATCAATGACACTCAGGTCATTGGTGAAGCTTGCCTTCAGAAAAACAGAAATATACACTGAAACAAATCTAAACCAGCAAGACTGAAATATGGGGAAATTGAGACCCAGACTGGAAAAGTTTTAACCCCCATCACACTAATTCTGTGGAAAAAATTTTTTGGAAAAAACAGTCATCATTCATCAAACACTCAGTGAGGGACCCTTACTGGCCTGGCTCCAGGTTGGGAGGAGGAAAATAAAAATGCTGCAGCCCAGAGAAGGCTCAGACCCAGACCTGGGCCTCACATCAGCACCAGGGACTATCGGACTCTGCCCCTCGGGTGCATGGGGACCCCCAGGGTGTGAAGCCACAGGAGGAAGGGTGCAGAGGCAGGAAGAAGAAAAGGAAGACTTCAGGGGAAAATAGCAGAACTTCTTTCTACTGAGGTCTGACTCTCTGGAGTGAAAATGGTTAAAAGAACCTGTTACAATGGCATTCCCAGAAACTCTGCCTGCAATTCAATGCCAATTAACATACATCTCATTTCTTCATTATGAGTGAGGAATAAGGTATTCCATACTACTAAATTCCCCAGAAAAGTAATGATTACCCTCCTTAAAGAGAAGGTATTTAACACTGACTTTTGCTACAGTCATCTGCCAAAAGTCTACGATTTTACCTCCTCGTGCTATTCAGTCATCTCTAGGTGCACTTGATGCTTCGTCAGCATTAGGTTCCCCAGCCTCACTGTCCCACTGTGCTGTGCATCTGCAAAGGCCCCAAGAACCTGCCCTGCTTAGGGTATTTTTCTCCACATTGCCTTTTAAAGGACTATCTTTTTCAAAAAGTATTTTTATTAACTACTAAATAGAAACCAATGCATACTTTAAATGTATATAAAGAAAAACAATTTGATGATTATCACACAGTATTTTCTTTTTTATAAAAAAAAAGGAAACATTACCATTAGTATTGATGTGTCTAACTAGGGTCCTCCCCACAATCTCACCTTTCTTTCTCCTTCACAAATAGTAAACATCCTGAATTTGTGTTTATTTATCATCCCGTCTTTTTCTGCTTTTACTATTCTTATTTCCAACATTTCTGCATTATTCAGGTTTATACATTATGAACTTCATATTTAGAAAATTACAGCATTCATATCCTTGTGCAATTTGCTTTTTGCTCTTCTTCCCACTCATTCTGTTCCTGAGACTGATCGAGATTGTGTTTTGTAGCTGTAACATCTGTTTCTTGCTATGTATCATATTCCATCACATGCCATCATACATCAAGGTTTATTTACGCATTTTACTGGTGAACATTTTAAAGTTTTGTTCTTCTTTCTCTTTTGTTGAGGGGGGGCCTACGAGAATTCTGGGACACATCTCCCACTACAAATGTGCAACAATTTCTTTAGACTAGGCCCAAATCCATGCAATTAGGAATGAAAAGGATGAAATTACAATGGACCCAGCAGAAATCCAGAGGATCATCAATACCTACTTCCAGAACCTATACGCCAATAAGATGGAAAACACA